TGTTTGATTTCAAAGTTTTGATTTTTGTTCGAAATTGAGGGTTTTTCAAGCTTGGAATCTGGTGCCGAGTTTGCTAGATTGTTGTAACACTTCTTTAATTTGTTGAATTAAATTGTCTTTGATTCTTTGTAGATATCGAGTCAAGGTTGTATTTTTGAGTGCTGAAATTTTGAGCTAGGGAAGATTAAAAAGTTTCATTTTTTAAGCATGTTTGTATAATTAGTCTAATGGGAATTTGTGGGTTTCGAATCGGAAGTTTTCAAGTCAGTATCTTATGGTCATTGTTGTTTGGTGGAAAATTGGGTTTGGAGAAATCTGCATCTAACAGCAAATTGACTGTAGTTTGGGAATGTGTTTGGAGTGATTTGACATCTGATGATGATAAGATGTACGGTTCTATCAGAGTGATGCAATATTCTGAGGACAAAAAGGTTGAGATCTGTTTGTGGTTTCTCTCTGTTTTGTTTACTCTAGTTTTGACTGTCTTCTCAGCTTGACTCTGGAGAGACTCCTTAGTGATAAAAGAGTAGTGTAAGTTTGTAGCTTGTGAGGTCTATAAGCTCCCAAAAACTGAGTAGTAATTGACTTTTCTATAAGGTCTCTCTGTACATGTTTAAGTTTTAAGTTAGTTTGCTAATTGCTTGTTGCCTTAAGATAAAGTGTTTTTGTGTAGGAAAAAAAAAGGGTACATGTACGGTTGTTTTCATAATAGATGATACAGTGATCAGTCATCACTTGTACAGATTGTGGATTATTATGAACAAATCCAAATACTAGTTGGTTCTCAATTTGGCACAGAAGTAAAGAGATTTAACCAGAAATATAGATTCCCGATTAACATAAGCTTGAATGTTTACCTACACTTCACAAGCATATTATTTATGTGATAAGACAATTGGAGTCCAAATAAGCAGTCTATTCAAAGATAAATGTACATTGTTGCAGGTATAGTAACACTGTGTCTCCTTGTTGATGCCTTCGAAACTGAAACATGACCATTTGGATTGTGATTTTTAGTCTGGCAAAGCTGTCTTATCTCCAGCAATATTTCATGTCATTTCTTATATATCTTGTGGATCTTTATATACTCTTTTTTTGTCGATCCGGTATGCTTGTGCAGAGAGTCCCAGATAAGTTTGTGAGTAAATTCAAGGATGAGCTTTCGGTTGCTGTTGCACTCACAGTACCTGATGGTCATGTTTGGCGTGTAGGACTGAAGAAAGCTGAGAACAAAATTTGGTTTCAAGATGGTTGGCAAGAGTTTGTTGACCGTTACTCTATTCGCATTGGTTACCTTTTGATTTTTAGATACGAAGGAAATTCTGCCTTTAGCGTCTACATTTTCAATTTATCCCACTCCGAGATCAATTACCATTCCACTGGTCTCATGGATTCCGCACACAACCACTTCAAACGCGCCCGTTTGTTTGAAGACCTTGAAGACGAAGATGCCGAAGTCGTCTATCCTTCTTCAGTGTACCCATCAACGCTTCCTGATTCTACTGTACCCGCCAATAAAGGGTATGCTGGTTCAGCCATCCAATTGTTCACTGGATCTGTTAAAGGTGATTTCCTTTATCTTTCTTGTTTCCCCGGATTACCTGCAATCCTCTTTTAAGATTGATGGTTGATATTCCAATTTCTCCCAGCTGAAGAGGCAACACCAACCCCAAAAGTTGCAAAAAAGAGAGGGAGGAAGAAGAAAAATGCTGATCCTGGTAAGCTTTTTCCTCTTTTAAACTCTTCAGACTCTTGTTCAGAGGAAATAGATTCATCTGCTCCACGCGATTGATACTCATGCGATGTCCTTTTGAAATGGTTCATCCAGAGGAAATAAATTCATCTGCTCCACGTGATGATGACCCAGAGAACCGTTCAAAGTTCTACGAGAGTGCTTCTGCAAGAAAGAGAACCGTGACTGCAGAAGAGAGAGAGAGAGCCATCAATGCAGCCAAAACGTTCGAGCCAACAAACCCTTTCTTCAGAGTCGTTCTGCGACCATCTTATCTATACAGAGGTTGCATTATGGTAATAAAAACACTGAGACTTCCAAGTTAAGATCATCAATTTTGTGGCTGTAACATGTTGACTATTAAAATAAAACCTTGATCTCATCAGTCTTCTCTGCTCACTGATCTCTAAAGAAGTCTTATTTTTCTGTTTCTTTGAACAGTACCTGCCTTCTGGATTTGCTGAGAAGTACTTAAGTGGGATCTCCGGCTTCATCAAGGTCCAGCTCGCGGAAAAACAATGGCCCGTGCGATGCCTCTACAAAGCCGGGAGAGCTAAATTCAGTCAAGGATGGTACGAGTTCACTCTAGAGAACAACCTAGGAGAAGGAGATGTCTGCGTGTTCGAGTTGCTCAGAACCAGAGATTTCGTTCTGAAAGTGACCGCCTTTCGAGTCAACGAGTACGTCTGAAAACAAAGATCATCATCACCCACTGTAGATACTATGGTGTGATCGATGATCTGCAGTGGGGGTGATTTCAAAGTACAATGTCGTCGTGTAGGAGTGTCTGAAAACAACTAAAA